CCCCAATGGCCAGTGGCAGCATTGATGGACTCATGTGTGTTAACAGTAGTGAGGTTGGCCCAGGATCAGACATTGTTTCGTTCTGCTGTGCATGGGGTTGCTATGAGTCGGTTCCAGCTCAATGGCACTAACAACAACACCAACTTGTAGAAAAGACAAATACATCATTTCTTGACATAATCTCCTTGTTTTTCAATACACTTTGTACATCTGTCAACAAGCTTTCACATTCCCTTATTGAAAAATGTTTTAGGCTGAGCTGCAAGCCATGAATATACAACTGTCTTCACTTCTTCATCAGAAGTGAATCTTCCTCCTCAAAGGGCTGCTTTTGGGGGACCAAACAGGTGAAAGTCCAATGGAGCAAGATCATGACTATAGGGAGGATGCTTTAACACCTCAAAACAAAGTTTTTCAGAGTGTCTACAGTGTGGGTAGAGACGTGAGGCTGTGCATTGTCATGCAAGATTGCAAAGCTCTTGGATAGCAGTCCTCTGTGTTTAATCAGTTTAGGCTTCAGTTCTTCAGTGAGCATCTCACTGTAACGAGCACTGTTGATTGTTGAACCTTTGTCCTGATAGTGTTCCAATATTGGCTCTTGAGAATCCCAGAAAACTATAAGCATCAATTTTCCAGCTGATGGTTGACTTTTGAACTTTTTCTTAGTCAGTGATTGAGGATGTTTCCATTCTATACTACACAGTTTACTTTCAGGCTCATAGTGCTGAATCCATATCTTATCACCAGTAACGATTTTTTAAAGAAACATTTACCTTCCTTTGATTATCAGTCCAAATTTTGTTTGCAAATGTTCAAATGCTTCTGTTTATGCTCTTCCGTGAGTTGTATCGGTACCCATGTGGCACAAATTTTTCAAAACCCAAGTCTGTCGTGGGTTATTTCATAGGCAGAGCCATGGCTGATTTGTAAATGATTTGCCACATAGTCCACTGTCACTTGTCTATTTGACAGATTCATTTCACGTGCACACTCAATGTTGTCATCAGCCGTGGACATGGACGTGTATTTTAATATAACCAGAGTACAGATAAGTTTTGATGCACCCTCATATATAGATATCTACATAGCTATAGAAAATTAGCCTGTTTCTAGTTTTCCATTACTTCCCATCACCCTTCAGTTGCCCATGGAAATGCAAAATGGAAGCAGGCAAGAATTTTTTTTTCACTTGAATTGAAATGTAAACAAATTTTAATTCAGAACAACAGAAAACCCACAAATGCACAGGCCATGGAATGATAAATTAGTATGCACTAAACTTAGCTCACCTCCACCCCCAGATTCAGGAGGTGTTTGACAACATTGATCTGTCCGTTGGAGGCTGCGGCGTGCAGGGGTGTATAACCCTTCTTATCCTTACATGTCACTTCTGCGCCATGGTTAATGAGCAATGCCACAACATCCAGGTGGCCTTTACAAACAAAGCAGAGAAAACATCCTTAACCTTTATAGGACAATTTGATGATTCATTTCACCTAAATTATCACTATTAGCTTTTATTGCCACCAGGATTTTGCTGAGTCATTTACAAAAGCTGGCTCATGGCTAATATCCAACAAATATTTATTGAGTACCTACTATGCATTAGACATTACATAAATGCTGAAGGAAGAGAAAAAATGGTTCAAGTGAGAACCTTCTTTTCAAGGAGAGCTGATGCCTGTCCACCAATAAGTAGTGATGGGATTGGGTCATTGTACTGGTAGTGCAGCCTAAGAAAACACTGTGTGAAACAGGAAAGTAAAGCTTTCACTATGTCTCACTGAAAAGTCTAATAACAATTTGGTTGGGGAAAAAACTAATGAAAGAAAAAAGTCAATGAATCAGAACACAGGACTCTTAGGTTTCCATGAAACTCGTGCTGCTTGAAACTGGTTCCGCTTAACAGCATTCTCATCGGCTGGGGGCTAAACATTCAGTTCTTTTGAGTTTCAACTCCTGTTGTGATTTTTTTTCTAGACTATTTTACTTTGTTCTCAATATGATCAACGTATTTGACCTATCTTTCGTGACTGAGGATTGTTCAATGTTTCAGGGGCACTGCTCTAAACATGGACAATATTTGAAAGGAAGAAGCTGAGTACTGACCCTGGGACCTACTATAAAAATGGGCTTTTTAATGTGTGTTTGTGTGTGAGTGTAGGGGTATGGGAGGAAGGGAGAAAGAGATTATGTACGTGTGAGAGATAGTGTATGCGTGTGTGTGTAAAAGAGAGAGAGTGTGTGTGTTCTTGGTATTAACTAGTTTACTCATATTTTGCCTTTTTCCTCAAGACTCATATATAGAAAAAATGTTTTCAATTACTAGTGTTGCTATCTCAAGCTATTTGTTCTGGTTTTGTCCTATTATTCCCCAAAGTCAGTACTTTTGATTTTTCCCTACTATTTGTATCCTGATGATACCTTACTTCTTTAAAGCAATTCTGCCCAACTGTTTTGAGCTATCCATCGGCAGAGAGCACAGTACAGACGCCAGCTCTTTGAGTCTAATTTCACACTGTTTAGTGTGTGCTTTGCCTAAACATCTATATCCTGATAAATATTCACTGGCTCCAGTCCTACAGATATCATGCAGGCATCTAATCTGCTCAGTCAACTTGAAAATCCATGCCACCTGAAAAACTGATAACGTTTGCAAAATTTTAAGATTCCATTTCATTCATTCAGACCACTCTCTAGTCACATAATTGATCTCATCCCTTTCCCATCTAGTCTCTCTTTATCTCCCCATACTTAATGTTATTGTTTTTGTTTTTATTCCTGATGATAAAAGGCACCCATGCTTGTTAAAAAGACTCCAGAAAATGCAAAAATGTATTAAATGACCCATAGTCATCAATCACTATTAACACTTTGTCATCTAATATTTCCTAGATTTGTTTTTGTTGTGTAGATTTTATTTTTTACAAAATAAACATCATTCTAGTCATATTGTTTCTATATCCTTTTCCACTTAGTGTCATCACAGCTAACTAACGACATCATCACTACCAATCACTCTTAGTGCCCCATTGGATAGATCTTCCAGAACTCATCAAACCCATCTCCCTCACAGCTCTGTTGATAGAATCCTGTTTTCTTTTCTAATTTCAGGAAGTTCTCCAATTAGAAACACAAAGGAAGGATCTTTGTTCATTTCTCAGAAGCCTACACTGAGAATAAACTCCACAAGGTCTATCTATCATTTGTCAGTGGTATTTGTGCCAAAAGGAAAGCACACAATATAGCTTCTTCCCTCATCTCCCGGAGTAGGGTGGACAGAAGTCTGACTTGTTGGCAGTGGAGGAACAGGATATTCTACGCTGGCTGCTCACAATCTACAAAACAGCCAGGGGTTTATCCTCTCTCGCTTCCTTTTTGTTTTTTTTTCCCAAAGTATTTATAAATAAAAAGACAAATTGGATTTGTGTCTTTGCTTTGATAGCCAGTCCTCTTTCTTTTTAAAAACACCTTACTTCCCTGCCATGACACGTTAACAGTTTTCCAATCCAGATTGTGCCTCATCCAATGAGGTCTCAGCTGTGATTCATCCCTCCTCTTTATATTGTTGTTGTTGTTAAGTGCTGGGCAGTCAGTTTTCTAGAGAGCGGCTGGTGGGTTTGAACTGCAGACCTTGTGGTTAGCAGTCCAGTGCTTATCCTACAGTGCCACACCAGGACTCTATACCAGGACACTGATTGAACCACATCCAGTGAGGTCCAGGCTGTGATTCATTCCTTCTCTTTATGGGATGAATAAATAAATTTCTGATAAAGCAACTGCCTACAGAGTGCTCTTTACATATCAATAAAATGGACAGAATCTTAATTAGAATTGAGCTTTCAAAAAAGTGAGATTTGCACAAGAGAAAACACCTGGTCAGTTGTTTATTAGATAAGGTATTCTGCACTTTCCTTCCCATTTGTGAACTACTTACCCATATATGCTGCCCAGTGCAGAGCACGCCGGTCCTTCTTATCAAATGCATTGATGTTCGCCCCTTTGGCCAAGAGTAAATTGACCATCTGAAAGACACCCAACAACAAAATCAAGTGTGCAGCCTGTTAACAGTGAGGGCTCCTCACTGCCTGCAAATGGTCTGAGCCAAAGTGATACCAAATCTAAAGGCAGCTTGGAAATTCAGAGTTCAAAAAATAAGGGAGGCAGTAAGTAATATAGCAGACCTTGAGGCACATATATCAGAGGAAAAGACTGAGGTGAAGGTCAACATTTTCAGTTCATGACGGTTACAAATTTATAAATGGAGATGGCTTGATCTTCAAATTTCACATTCTGTAAAAATCTCAGCAATAAGACTAGGCTCCACTTGGGGCTAACAGGAGGGCTTTCCAGTGAAGAGAACACCCACCTCCACATGGCCATTCAGAGCTGCATGGTGTAAGGCTGTCCTCCCTCCTCGGTCGGAGACATTGACGCTGCTCAGCAAAGGAATGATCACTTCTGCACACTTGACAGCCTTATTGGCTGCTGCCACGTGGAGTGGGGTCTGCCAGTTCTTGTCCCTCGCATTGACATCAGCTGAGTGCTTAATCAATACTTGCACTGCTTCCTAAAACAAAGGCAGAGTTTGCAGAAGTCACTGACAAAAGCTTAATCAATAATTATCAGATGTAGGATGCTTCTTCAAATCCTGGAAAGATGGAGAGAAAGGGAAAGCTCCCTGTTCTAAGAGGAATAAGACAAAGATCAAAGAATGGCACAAAGTAAGGCAGTGGGTTGGTTTCACCTTACCTTTCTTTGTTAAACCAAGAGCGCTGGCACAGCTCTAAAACAAAACAAACCTTTAAATATAAGGTAACCTTAGGCCCAATTAGAGCATGCAGCTACAAGTGCACACAAATTGGTCAACAGAACATTTAAAACTAGAGATTTCTGTCAATAGGCCTCCATCTTTCAAAGTCAAAAAGACTCAGAACCCTTCACACAGTCCTTGAGATGGTTGATGAATCTTGGATTTTCACTGTTAATGTCTAAAGTGATTTCGTATAAAGGGTCAAAGGAAAAGTATGTTTGTTGCTGTCTCATCTTGAAGCTCTAACACTGTTTCATCTTGTCCCAACCTTTCACAGGTTAAAATGGATAACTTCTTAAACCACTGTTGAGTTCCTTCACCTTTACTGAGCCTTTCACGTTCTATTTTCCTCCTATGGAGACTCAGTTGGTTCACTAGATTCCAGACCTATGTCTCTCAACCCTGGTTGCACAGTGGAATCACCTAGGGAGTCCTGAAAATACTGATGTTAGAGTGCCACCCCCCAGAGAGTCTAGCTGACCTCTATCTTTCTATAAAGTTCCCCAGAGACTCTATTGTGTAGCCAGGGTTGAGGACCACTCTTCTATTCAGCAAAGTGAACAGAAGGGAATGACTCATCTGTTGCTTTTCCCTACTTCTAGAGACATACCTGGGACTTAGTGGGGTTTCTTTATGGACGTCTAGTCAATGTGGCATCAAGAAGCATTCGCACCACACTGCTGTCTTAGTCATGGAAGAAGAACTTATTCTTGTCCACCTCAAGCTCCACAGGGCTAGGATTGTCCAGTCTACTTCATAATATAAGTATACAAATGTGTACCTGATTTGAGCTCCATAAAATTAACACATTTTCCATAAATATAAATGATGCAATGAAAAGGACATTCCATGAATCAGTCGTAGCAACATTCTGAGATGAAAAGCTAACTTGGACAACTGAGTAAGGTCAAAAAGAAATTAACTTTGCAAATGGGAGAGTTTAAATAAATAGAATGAAAAACTTGTTTGAATGATCAAAATGACAAATTATCAAATTGGGTTTAAATAAAATTTTACTATTTACCAGTATAGAGTCGCTACAAGTCAGAATCAAATCAATGCCATACAACACCTATCAGTATGATGGGGAAAAATTACTGCATAATAACAAATAGTATTCTAAGGAAGACCGATCCCGTTTAACAGTGGAGCCTCTGTGTTCACTGAGGCCCTTGCTGTGCAGTGGTGGGTTTAGAGTAAGTTTGGGAGGAGGCTGTGCAGAGCTACACTGCTCTACATAATGGAGTGAGAAGCA